TATATATATATATATATATAAAACAGCATGTGATTTGTATTGAATTATTTTGGAAGCAAAGGCCAGTGAAGATGGGATTTCCTTTTGTAAACTGCCAATATCATTATATATTTTTTGTATTTTTCAGAAAAATACAACCTTAGAATAACGTTATAGCGTTATAAGCTTGCAATCAACGTTTCGGCTTCGCTCAAATGTTATCGTATCGAATATTTGAACGACAGGTTCCATAACATGAGTAACATTACCGTACACAGCTCAATAATGATTAAGGAAGAAGCAGAAAAAACTTATTTTCAGACTTGATTAGCCTCCTATATTTGGTACCAGATGTTTAATTAGTATGATTGTAATGTAAAATTTGCAAACCAGGTTTCCAAACAATACTATGTCACTTGTACTACATTTTAAATTGATTGCAGTATTTCTACTTGTCGCTGTATAGTTATTAAAACTCACGCCAGAGCATTCGAATTATCGAAAAACGAAGAAAAATGACACTTTTTAGGTGTTTATTGGAAAATCAGAACAGTGTAAACTTACAATAATCACCGAAGTGTATGCAAGAGAACATACTAAGTGCTCTGCTACATACAATGAAGAAGAAGATTGACAAGTGAATGACATTAAAATATTACACAAAAACAAGTTGTAACGGAATGTATTGCACGGACTATCAAAAAACAACCTATTAAATCCAAATTTCATGAACGCAAAATTCAAATAATTTATTTTAGTTCACAGCCACACAATAGATAATCTGAGATCTATCCACCGTGGGGATTCGAACAACCGTTTTTAGAACTGTAAACTTACCACTAACACTTGGACAAATTGAAGAAGGCTTCATATTATGTTTAAAAAAAAACCTTTTTATACGTACAAATGAAATGAATAATTTAAGAAACAATATGGTGATGTATATATTTGTAATCTTTTAATTTATCCATATTTCATAGTTAACAGACAATATTAAAATCTGGTTTCCACGTTTTGCTTGTTTACAGTAGACCAGATTTGCTCAACTTTGAGCTAGTGTATTTTGAGTGTGGTCTCAAGGCCGGACAGTAGTTATAGATGAAAGATCACATCAGGCTTATTGGATTAATCCACAATAGTACATTAATAGGCAAGAAATATTAAGCAATTAAAGTCACAGGTGTTAAAAAAGAAACTCCATCTTTTTGAATTTATATTTATTTTACATTTTTATTCGTGTTTGGCGAATCACCAGTTGGATAACTGGGGATTAACATGATATACTTGAATTTTGCAATGACAATTATTTCATGCACCATGAAGTTTTTTTATTATATTTAAGTAGTTTTTAGTAGTGATTAAATCATCTGCATATCTGGTTATCTAATAAATAACAACTTCGAGTACAAAAATAGAAAATTAGATATATTAATTACTTTATTTCTGCATGTTCGTCCTTACGGCAACTGAAACATGAGTTGGTAAGTAGAGGTGCTTAACTTTTAGTCTACGCTAATGTATTTTACTTATCTGAATTCAGATAATTAAAATCATGCTTCAGTGAGCTTTCTCCCTATAACCACCTTAATTACTTCATTACGGATATAAAATTAGAGGTGTGTAATAATGACATTTGAGGCCTGTCTTTCGTCTGCCACAAGTCATTGGACAGAAGGCCTATTGCTCAGTACCAGAACCCACCACGATAGCCTAAAATATACCAGGAATTCTAGTTGATGCAGCATAAAAAATATATTGGAATGTTGTTAAAAGCATAAGCTGTCAAAGTATTAAATAGTTTTAGGCTTAATAAAAGTGTTTAAAATCACCATCGGGTCAGTCACTATAAGCCTAACTGATTCGCTATCCTAGATGTATCTCAAGTTTTTCTTTTATTCATAAACAAATTTTTTAAACACAAAAACCAGATTACAAGTGAAGATTACAGTTATTTTAAATCTAGAAAGATGAGTTGGTAACTTTTGTACTAGAAAGCTAAGTAAACCAACTATATGAAACTAAAGCATTTGGTAAGTTAGAATTGTAAAGGGAATTTGAGATTTAAGTCAGACATTGCTGAAAAAAAGCAGTCTATAACTAAACTTTACTTTTCTTCTTAAAAACAAAAAATATCTTTTATTACTTGTTTTTAAAGTTTCTTCTAAGATAAACAGTTTTAAGTTAACTTCCAAGTATTAATTATCCAGACTATCATGGGTTGAGCGAAGTTTTGTAGAGTTTGATAAGGATAGCATGTGTAACTGATCATTCTTAGTCAGTGGATTTTTGAACAAATTTGGTCTGTGAAACTTGGTTATTTTTTAATATTTAATGACGATCATGAACCACCCATTGGTTCAGTGGTAAGCCTACAGGTTTATAATGATAAAAACCGGTTTTCGGTACCCGTGGTGGGCACAGCAGAGATAGCCTATTGTGGAGCTTTGTGCTTAACAACACAAACAAAGACGACCATAAATAAATGTACATTATTAGTGACTTAAATTAAGTACTTTATTTTGATTTTTCCTTTAAATAAGTGCGACTAATTTGTCCAAACTTGATGGTATTTATTATCAATTAATTTAGCTCTAAAACTAGAAGGTAACCATAAAACAGAAATTGGACAAAATATTATGACAAAGAAAATAAAAAAGACCATTATGTACGAGCAATCCCATTACCTTATATATTCATGATTGTTATAATATTTGTTATTATATTGTTAATAGATATTATTTAATTATATTTAATATATCTATGTTAATTTAATTACATCTTTCGAAATGAAATATAATAACACAGAACATATTAATGTAATAACACAAGTTGTGTACTTGGAAATATATATATATATATACAAGCTAATAAGAAGGGTAAAATATATATGTATATATACCTAGACGTTCGCTTTCTTTGATGGTGTTCTACAAAAGCTTTTAATGGAATAAAAGTTTTGCCCACGAGAGGTTCTGTAACTCGGAGTAGCAACAATGGAGTGTAGGGGATTTTCGGAATGTTGTTGCAGGGACCTACAACAGAACAGATGGAAGACTTTACGAAAACCTGCTCTGTACTTGGAGTTCATCCAGCAATAAATGAAAGGATTGCAACAGGCATGGCTCATTGCTAGCCAGTGACAGGCAAACCATATGTACATGATGTGTGGATGGGTATAGATGCTTGGGTCGTGATCTCCGGCGACAAGCAAAGTGTTTAGGGGTAGCCAGCAGAGAGTAAAAGCTGTAACACAGGTGATCATCATTTTTACCATCTGGAAAAGTAAAAAGGTGAGAATAAAGAGAAACAGAAGAGTCTAACAGGTATTCTGTTTTTAGAATATATTTTAACAGAATATACATTACTGTTAATATAGGAAAGGATGTGGTTGGAAAGAGAATTACTACAGCAAGCCTTATTATTATTTGTTTAATACATTGTTAAGTTCAGGAACAACCAACGAGAAGCTGACAAATTGTAGTAAATCTAATAGAAAAAAATATCATACTTTTAAGAATATAAATGTGTATAACATCAAAGCTGGATATCTTCGAAGAAACTGAGATGATGGTAATGACGAAACAAAGTAGCTATGGAAAATTGTTACAAATATTTATACAAACGTAAACGCTTGGACAATATTAACGGTGGCTTGGAAACCTATCTAAACTGGGAATGATAAATATAACAGAAATATTGTTATAAAAGAAATTTTTATGTAGATGTCAAAAGTCCAGAACACGACCAACTCTTGGACTACCCTTTTATCAACGAAATGTGAGATTGACAGTCTCATTATAACGCTTTCACGGCTGAAAAGGTTAGCATGTTCGGTGACGGGATTCAAACTTGCGATTCGTAGATTGTGAGCCGAATACCCTAAACATCAGGCGAAATATATAGTAAAAATTAATGCTCGTACTGTTAGAAACGTTTATATAAAACAATAATGAAAACGCTTAATGGTACATTTCATGAGATTTAGGCCTAAAACCTAAGAAACAAGCTATAAATATAGCATTCTGATTGTCGCCAAGATTTTTATAGAGGTTGAGATTAAATATGAAATTAGATACATGGAAATGTGAAAGTTACAAAGGGAAAATCTAACTTTATGCCATTTTTAGTTGAAAAATCATCAAATTTTTTTAATATAAAATAATTATAGTTAAAAAGTTTCGCAAAAAAACAGGATAATATGTTAGAGCACTTACCACAAGTTTATTATGTCACGAAATCTTTTTTAAAGCTCAAACTTACTTTTAATTTGTATTTTAAATGTATATTAACTTCATTAACATGAATATATATATATATCATTTAGTTTCATGTTAAAAAATGCCAAAACTGAAGACCAAATGTTTGTGTTATAGCACACTGCTAAAGCAGCAAAAACATTCTGCTATTGTCTTCATTGAAAGGTTTGGATTTTATTTCAGAAATAATGATGTTTGATATTTTTTACAGCTACATGCTACTACTTAACTTTATATATGTATATTTAAAGTGTAAAGGTGCTTTTATTTCAACTGTTTCACTAAAATACAAGGAGCAAATACAATACAGATTTTTTAATGCGTGATTATAGGGTTAGCTAGACGTATTTAACACTGTTGTCTATTGATATGTTTCTTCCATAAAAACTCGTTTCCTTGTGGTCATTTATTAAAAGTGGTAATGCAAAGCTGTAACAGGAATTACTAGGCATAACCTCAGCACTCTTTTTAAATCATTTGATGTAAGTTTTATCCCATCGATGAAATTTGTTTTCTTTATATTCAGACGTAATTGTTTGTCTTTGAACGAACTAATGTTAATCCCTTCTGCGAGGCGAGATTAAGTGTATATCCGCCCAAGATATACATAATTCTAAAATGAAAGCTAATATTTCGTACGCAGCATACGAGAAGCTTTAATATGAATACAACAAAATCTAATTTTCATTTTAGAATTTAGTCACTATCCGCCTTTATGTTTAACTCGATAGACAGGATGTATACAAACCCTAGTAAAACTGTGCAGTTGAGAAGTTTATGATTTTCAACAAATAAAATGAATTATCTCTATTACTCAAGTTGGTTTACAACAAATCGCTCATAATATTTAAAATTAAGTTTCAAGTATAAATCGATTGCTTACTATCATTTTTTTTATAACCTACTAACTTTTAATCCGCACTTATGTTGGATTTTATGGGTTTACAAATATTCATGTAATACCCACATATGAGTTTTACATTGCATTTAAACCTATTATTTAATACAATGCAATTTCATAATATTCGTTCTTCAAAATAGTGCATTATTGTGAAATTTTCATGATTACCGAATTGACACTGAAATCAAAGAATGTAATAATAACAGTGATTGGTGCTTACGTCTAATAAAATACTCACTTTTCGTTTCGATGCAGCCAATCGATGATCGCGGTTGTCTTCAGCTTCCCCTGGTGTCCGTTTTCCCCACACAACAATAGCTATCCTGGTATAAGTAAAGATGAGTACAATGAGTGGCAGAAAGTATTGTAAAGTCATGAGAGCCATGCTGTAGTAATATCTTTGAACTGGAGTGCTCCAAACCTCGGTGCACAGGTAACGGTCGGTGTTGTTCTGTGGTACTAGTTTTGAAACGATAGCAGTCGGGAGTGGTGTCAGCAGCGCCACCAACCAAACAGCAAAAATAAGTAGCTTAGCTTGCAACTTGGTCATTCGTGGCCTTAGTGGTTTGATGATGGCGATGTACCTGTCTACACTGATCGCTATTAGTGTATAAGCACTAGCAAATACAGAAACAGCCTGAGCGTAAGTGAAAATCACACAGAAAACCGCACCAAATGGCCAGCATCCCAGAATAAGATTAACCACGAAGGTGAAGGGAATGCACAGAACAGCCATCAAAATATCTCCAACCGCAAGGTTAACAATGAAAAAGTTCGTCACAGTTCTCATTCGAGGATCAGACATCACAATGTAACACACGATCCCATTACCTCCAATAGCAGCAAGTGATATCGTTATGTACATAATGTACATCAAGACCTGGATTCCTATAGGGACTAAGTTCTCTTCCTGCTGGAGGTAAGAGTCAGCGGAGTTATTCTCTTTAGACAGTTCTATGGACATGTAAATTTCGGTGAACATAACTGTCTCCCATGGGTCAGTGGAAGAGCCTGTGGGTATCTTCGCCATTCTTCCTTTCGTTAAAAATCGATCGCCTAGTCAGTTTTCTGCCATCGTAGTTTCACAACGGTAATGGTCATGCTAAAACTGCCTACAAAAGAACACACAGCTTATCATGAACGAATATAATATTGAATATCATCAAATATTTCAAAAAGTTACCCTCCTCTTCGTTAGAGTTATCATTGATGAAATGTTTAGTGGTGTCAGTCTGTGTATGTGACTATCTGAGAAATAGGTGTTTGTAGTTTACTTAGAAATATTTAGTGCTTTCAGTATGTGCACGCACTTGTCACAGAAATAGTTGCTTTCCGTTTAGTTAGTGTGGTCGTTGATGAAATGTTTAATGGTGTCAGCCCCGTGTAATTGTCTGAGAAATTGTTACCTTCCGTTTAGTTAGTGTGGTCATTGATGAAATGTTTAGTGATGTCAGCCCGTGTAATTGTCTGAGAAATTGTTACCTTCCGTTTAGTTAGTGAGGTCGTTGATGAAATGTTTAGTGGTGTCAGCTCGTGTAATTGTCTGAGAAATTGTTACCTTCCGTTTAGTTAGTGAGGTCGTTGATGAAATGTTTAGTGGTGTCAGCCCGTGTAGTTGTCTGAGAAATTGTTAGCTTCCGTTTAGTTAGTGTGGTCATTGATGAAATGTTTAGTGGTGTCAGCCCCGTGTAATTGTCTGAGAAATTGTTACCTTCCGTTTAGTTAGTGAGGTCGTTGATGAAATGTTTAGTGGTGTCAGCCCCGTGTAATTGTCTGAGAACTTGTTACCTTCCGTTTAGTTAGTGAGGTCGTTCATAAGGTGTAAGTAGTTAATTGTGCTGTAGGTAAATAATTAGAGCAAAAACAACAGTTTGGCATGAAACCAATACTTTAAGCATTTTAAACTTTATACGTATATATAAGATTAGCTCCTCTTACTGGACGTAATGCATCAGGACGTAATGAATAGAATTTTTTTTTAATACATAAACATAGATATATGTATATATACTTTCTAAGCTTCAAATTAAATATAATAGCTTTGGAGGTTTTCAAAATTATCGGACATATTATCTCAGAGGATAGAACGTTCAGAGCTAGATAAGACGAGTTTGTATGTATGAAACTAGAATATACTATAAAAACAATAATTAGATGGGCGCTCTTATGTCCAAGTAGCCTATTTCAAATAGGTAGATGACGAAAATAAAAGATTTCTGCATTAGGGATAAGAGAATATATATTTTTTTTCAATATAAGCAACTAGATAAAGTAGCTGCTAATCTTAATATTTTGATTAGAGAATAATTTAATCTCTTTTCAATTACAATTAATCAGCAGAGCGTAAAATGAGAATGGAAATTCTGTTCTAGGCATATACGACTCCACAAATTACCATTTTTAAAAATGAAAGTTGTTCGATAATTTTCAGCAAAAGGGGAAATTTTACAAAGTTTTTATTATACTTGAAACAGAAATAAACGATAAATACGTTTAACACACTGGAATATAGTAATCTTTAAAATTAACGTAAGCCCTCACATAATAAATATAATTTTTTAAATAGAGTTCAATATTATCTAAATCGAATACGATAGCTTTCCTACTTCTCTCTGCTGCACTGTGTAAACTTAAATGTTTCTTTTTTTTCAGAAAGAGTAAGAAGAAAGTTGAAAATATCAGTATTTAGATTATATTTGTATATCGTTACTTTGTTATAATTCGTATTATAATTTGTTATAATATTCGTATAATATTTTTTTCTCTTGGCTGAAAAAAGTAAACTCCAGTTCAGAAGAATAGTGACACATTATTTTCAAAGAAGGCAGAGAAAATGATATTCGTTTCAAACAAACTTGTAACATATATTTTTCCAAATTGCGAGTAACAAAATCAGTCATGTTGATTACATAATCGAAATACCACCTGTCTGTAACTCAGTTCATAACTGAATATGTCGAAGTATTAATACACTGTAATAACGACATATTTTTACATCGTTACGTGTACTTAGACTCAATATCAATAATATTTTTGAATAAGCATACAAAGTGTTTAATAGAAATCAGCAAAGGAGTCTGAATACTGTAAGAAAGATAGTGCAATGGTTGTTGGATCTGATTTCAGGAAGGAACGATCAGAGGAATGTCCAGACTATAGTTGTAGATATATGCCAATTTAAAACATTTTCCGCGTCTGCTATGGTTAATTGCATTACTCTATAATTAGGAAATTATTATTGAGGACTGTGGATGTTTTCCTTCCTATCCTACATAAAGACAAAAAGGACAAATTGTATAAAAGTACGAATTTTGGTATAAACTATATATTGAAGAAATCTGATTTTTGTTTTTTAAAACCATGTATAAATTGTTGCCTTATACAGAATTAACTATACTAATTTATTGGACCTCAAATACTTAAAAATATTGATTAAAAGGCATCGTAAGTTGGTTTAAAACGAAACATACCACGTGGTATGCCACCTGAATCATTACAACTTGATATTAGAAATAATTGTGTTTGTTTCGTTCAGTCCAAAGCTGTGTCTACAACAGAGGTAGAGCCACGAATTTTAACGTTATAAGCTTACTGCTGAACCACGAGGGAGCGAAATTACAATACTTAAACAACTTTTGACCGAATCTCTTTATCGTAATGCTTTTGTTTGGATAAAACATTCGTGTAACATTAATTCAAATTATGCTGCAACATCGAACTAATCTATACTATTATTGTCATAATTCTATTATCTATTATCTATTATTATTATCTATTACTAACTTTATTATCAAACCTAAGCTGTAAGGTGAACATGGAACTAAAACTAACTTTTATGTTATTGGTGACTTAATGTCTTCTGCTCCCTGCATACTTTGTACTAATCAGAAAACGTTATTAAACATAAAGTATAGCTAAACAGCAGCATATCATTAGTCTTGATCTTCTTATCTACTCACCTTATATTAAACTAAGGAATATATTAACATGACATTGTAACAATAGATGTTAACTAGGTTTAGTAAATGTTATGTCTACTTCACATTTGAGAATACAGTGTTATAAGGAGGGACTTAAGGACGTGTATCTTCTATAATGTATGTTTATACCCTTGTATTACACTATTACACATATGCTTATTCGATGAGTTAGTGTTTAACATGCTTGAGATTTGAGAGACTATTCATAAATACATCGTATTGAATAAAAGATTATGATGGTTTTAAAACCCACAGAGAAATGGAACGATTGAATAAGGCACTTTTTTAATATTAGCAGAGATATCGTAAGTGAATTGATTAGCAGTTTCTGAATAGGAACATTGTGGTTTAATCGATTAGCTTATAAGCTCAGTTGTTATATTTATAATCACCCATAGAAAACTAAATAGGTAAAATAACACAATCATGATGACTTTAGTCAGAATGCAAATAGAAAGCATTAATCCTATGTATACATATTAAACAGAACATTCTAAACCGTAAAGAGCAGATATTTTGCAATGACGAAATATACAGAATTTCAAACTTTAGACAAAATAATAATTTTGAAGTACAAGTTTGATGAAGAAGAATCTAATCATGGACAGCGGCCGATCTGTGGAGTCTTTTTTAGGACTTTATGAAGGGCTTAGTTGCATATGCACAAGACATAATTTCATGTTCGAGTGTTTAATTTACTTCTATATTTTCGCAAATCAGCCTTTTCTGCTAATGAGACAAAACGAAGAGATTTAACCTACAAGAACAGCATATAAAGTTATGAACATTAAAATCCATTTAAATTCCTGATAAGATATCTAATAAATTATACTGCGTTATTATTTGATGGTACTTTTTCTGGATTTGTACTTAGAATCTGTGTGAGCGGGAGAGACATTCTTAAGAAGAAATATGGCAAGGAATTGGCGCTTGAGTTATGATTAAGTCTTCAACAATGTCTCGTTCAAAGAAAACTTACAAGAACTCAATTGGAATAGACAAATAAACTGACATACTTAATGTAGTGATGGATGAATTATGCAATAAAGAAGAAATACAGTCGTTAACTTACAGTTTTGTCAGATTCAAGAGAAATCATTACTGAAGAACTTCTTGAAAACCTTAAAGAAAACTTGACTTTATCACCATAGATTAAAAATTACTGAATTACTCTTATATATCGTTCCTAGATTAATTTTATTTTTCTGGATTTACGAAATTACTCAACTTCTCCGCTCAGTTTGGTGCACGGAATCACAAAATCGATTTTGGATTTTCATTTTAGGCTCAGAGCATTTAATGATCACAACTGTCTTAACTTTCCTGAAATAAATTTGCGATATGCAAAGGTATATTTCAATTTGACGTGAAATTAGTTTTGTTGAGAGAAACAATCTGAAAAGTTAAGTGAAGTTACATAATATACATTTTGTTGAATTTCTTTCCTTAACTTTTCTATTATGAATAGAAAATATAGTTCAAAATTTATGTTCTTCCTAAATGAAAAAATATAGGTAATATAGATAAGAATCACTGGGTTGAAGTAAACAGCCTATACAATTCATTATAAGACTGGGTTGAAGCAAACAGCCTATACAATTAATTAAAAGACTGGGTTGAAGCATACAGCCTATACAATTCATTATAAGACTGGGTTGAAGCAAACGGCCTATACAATTCATTATAAGACTGGGTTGAAGCAAACAGCCTATACAATTAATTATAAGACTGGGTTGAAGCAAACAGCCTATACAATTCATTATAAGACTGGGTTGAAG